TGTAGTTATTTGGGAATACTCTCTCACACAGGTTCTACAAGGGCAGCTCCTTGACCCAGTGGCCTTAGTTACCAGCCCACTCACCAAGCCTGTTCCTCATATAAACCTGCAGAGGGATCCAGTTTTCTCTTTGCTGCTTCCTGACCACTCCCCATCTGCAGAACTCACGTATGATGGGAAACCAGGGGAGCAGAGATAGAACATTCACTCTGAGACAAGAGTTTGTTCACGCCCTAACACGAGTTAACTACTTGATAAACCTTTTTCCCAACTGCTTTTTCCTTCTAAGTGTCATGAGTTAGAAAACTTCCAAATTCTTTCCCCCCTCCCCCCTTATGAGCAGAGTATAGGGAGTAGATTCTTGCTCCTTATTCCATGAGTGTAGTTCTTTCTCTCTATTAAGGTAAAACTAGCTGCTATAATTAATAAACATCAAACTTGTTAGTGGATTCATACAAGATAAATTTGTTTCTCTATCATGTAACAGTGTGATATGTGTAATCCTGCTCAGTACAAGGCTTTCTTACTTATGGTCATGCAGACACCCAGGTTCCTTCCATCTGTGGACCTTCTGTCTTCTGCTTCCCGCTAACAAAAAAATTCTGAACATGGCACATATCCTTTCCGCTCACATTTCACTGACGTCTACTAGTCATATGGTCAAACCTGGATGTAAGGGATACTGGGTAACAAATCTATGATTGGACATTTACCTTCCAGCAACATATTCACACTACAGAAGAGGGAGCATAAATTTGGGGGGTTACTAGCAGTCTCTGGCACACTACACTATGCTAGCATGAGTAAGAACTATGGTGTTAACTACGTATTCCCTGCCTAATTGCCTCACTGCAGCCCAGCAGGCAGCATTTCCAAAGCTGTCCTTGAGTTGGGCTGGACCCCAGGATTGTTTAATTACCATCCAAAGGCATAAGCCAAGCCTTTGATGCTTTGGCAGGGTTGGAAGTGGGCTGTTGTAGAGGAGCCGACAAGTATGGGCCAAGATCCCAAACCACTGCCTACAGCTCTACCAGCCCTTTCCTATTCTGTAACTTTACTCTGGATAGTTACAAGTTTGGACACGGATATGGGTATTTCTTACCCTATTGGCTTTGCAAAAATAAATATATTTTTAAAAGACCATATCTGGGTGCGCTTGTTTCTCTTTCAGCACGCAGGACTGTTTCGAAGAAGCCCTAACACAGTGCCTTGCTCATATAGGTTCTCATAAATATATATTGAATGACTGGACAAACTAATGTTAGTGGCTTAACAATGTCCAAGGGGAGTTGTATATTAGGGTTCTAAACATTTTGTACGCTAGCTAACTTGTGGCCTCAAATAAGAAGAATAAAACTTAGTGTTTACATCAGATGGGGACCATCCACATAAGGGAGCCACCCCAACCCATGTTCTCTGCCTTCAATGCTCATGAAATAATGCTTTTGATGGGTCTTTTCTGGTCATTATTTGCTAAGAAGAGGATTTGCCCCCCTGGACACTGACATGGATAGTTACTTAAGATTATAACTCATTATATTGGTTTATAAATTGGGCTGGGACAGTGTGAATCATTCTGCAAGAATCTTAGTTGCTCTGTCCCTGAGTGCCTTGGCCAGCCAGACTCCTGTTCCACAGCTGATCCCATCAAAACTCAGTACTCTCGCCATTTAAGGTGGAGGAGCAGAGACCATGGCTGTCAGCCTGGGTGCTAGTGGGCTGGGTTTGAGGGGAGGGGACTACGGAGTGGTAGTATCCTTAAGAGTGAAGCAAATGAATATTGAATGGGTGCTTGAATGTCTCCCTGGAATTCAGTTAACAAAAGTTATGACCAGATAGAGAAATATACAAGTATAGAAAGTATTTGTGAGAAGAAAATAACATGGGGAAAAACATTCAAATTATCTGGAAGCTTAATGAAATTTTAACCTATTTACTAGTCCTCAGATATTCGTAAAGCAGAGCTGCTTTTCATTTCTTTTAAGCCTTGATTTGCACTGAGGTCCTTGGGGAAGATTGATTGCACTTAGAGTGCAGTCTTTCCATGAATTCAGGAAGGGGTGCTGATAGGACTGAGGGTGGGTAGGGCCCCTTCTAGCTGTGCTTCTCTGTCTTCACCACAGGCAGAGAAATCTGTGGGAACATGTACAGAATTACCTGGGTAAATATATTGTCTGGCTCGCCTGACATTTTACCCTACACTATCAAAACTCTTTCTAAAGGCATGGAATTCTCTCTAAAACATACTAGGCTTAGAACTATTAGATAATAACTTATTCATATTATGAATAAGCTGATAGCTCTTGAGTTGGCCTATAAGTCAAGGTAATTATAAATATGTAATGTAAAATACACACAAGAAAATTGGTACAACCTTTTGTGAAGGTACTAGCTATTAAAAATTTGAATGTGCATATTCTTTCATCCAGAAATCCTACTTCTGGGATGTTACTCCAGAGAAATATTCCCACAGTTATGCAAGGATGTTGCATATAATGTTTTCTTGGGCATGTTTTTGGTGGCGAATAATTAGAAGCAATTCACATGTCCTTTTGTAGGGGATTGGTTAAATAAGTCAAGCATCAATCATGAAACAGAGTATTAAGAAACTTAAAAAGAATGAAGTGTTTCTATAGTAACTGATACAAACAGATGTCAAAGTATTATTGAAGAACATAGAAGTGCAATACAATACACACAGGGCAATTGTGTGTATTTCTCTACTGTCTGGTCTTAGGAAAGGTCTGCAAGGACATACACTAAACTGTAAGTGGTAGACATCTTTAGGAAATGAGAGATTCGACTTTCTGCTTTTATTATTCTTGTACTATTTGAGTGTTCAATAACATGTGTTACTTTTGCTATATATATATATATATATATATATATATATATATATATATATATATATATATGCGCGCATGTGCTCAGTTCTAGTTCTGTGCCCTCTTTCTGATCTCCCACCCTCATACTGTTAATTAACTCTGTTAATCACACAGGTCCACCTGGGTGTTCTGGGTACAAGGTCTCCTTCATACAGACTCACTTCCAGGCCTGGGTCTCCTGCAATTTGATGTCTTTGCTTCAAATCCTTTTAAACGTGCTTTCCCTTCATCACATAACCATGCCTGTCTTCCATCTTCATTGCTTTCCTTCTCCCTCCTGCAGTTTCCAGTTCTCTATGTTCCACTCTCCAAAGTCTTTTATTTGACTTTCTTTCTCTCTGAAGAGTCCATCTGCTAAAAGTTGTCTTTCTCTAAGTCCTGTTGTTTACCGCCACCCACTCTGAACCATGTAGAAAACTCCTTCACTTACTGCAGCTGAAGGTCTGAGCTCACCCGTGTGCAGCTGCTGGGATGCACACCAGCAGTTTTGCAGTAATTTCCTGACTTTCCGACTCTGCCCGAGGCCAGTCACTGGCCTAATGCAATCTGCGAACTGCCAGGGGAATAGCAGGAGGACTGAGGTGATGAGTCTCCAAGATAACCCCCAGGGAGCCTCACCTCCTGGTATTCTCACCCTGTGTACCCCTCTCATAGGGTAAATCAAGGTGGACCTGTGTGATTAACGGAGTCCTGTGGAAGGCCACAGGGGATGACTTCAGAGGACAGATCATAACAGACATTGCAGCGTGTCCCTTGGTTTCGTGGATTTCTAGCTCTGGGGGAAGCCAGCTATCAAGCTGTGAGGATGCTGAAGCAGCCCTGAGGAAAGGCCCACATGTAGAGAAACTGAGGCCTCCTGCCAACAGTCGCACCGCCTTGGCAGCTATCTGGGTGAGACCCTTGGGAGTAGATTCTCCAACTGCAGTTAAGGATGCAGATGGGTGAAGTCACATCAGACGTCTAACCTTCCGTGAGAAACCTAAATCAGAACCATTCAGCCAAACCACAGCCAAATTCTTGACCCACATATAGGGGTGGGGCAGAAGTAGGTTTACAGTTGTGAGTATGGGAAACAGTTTATTCTTGTATTATTATTTATTATAGGTATTTTTTCCATGCAAACAACTATAAACCTGCGTTTGCCCATCCCGGTTTATGGCACTATGAGATAATAAATGATTCTACTAATTTGATGGTGATTTGGATCATAGCATTAGATGAATAATGCAAGAGCCAAGTCCCAAAGACACATAATAGCTTTTCTCTCAATGGTCTTTCTATGTTTACTTTTTTGTAAAGTCAGGCTGTAGCAAGAAGTAATTAAGAGCATAGACGTTGGTGGTAGACCTGGTTCACATCCCAGCACCATCACTTTCTAGTTTTGTGACCTTGAAAGAAGCTGTTTAACCTCTCAGAGCTTCAGTTTCTTCATTTTTAAAATGAGGAGGTCCCAGCTCTTTTGCCTTAGTAGATAGAGCTTTGGCCTGCAGAATGTAGGGTCTTGGGTTTGATTTCGGTCAAGGGCACAGCCAGGGTTGCAGGCTCGATCCCCAGTAGGAGGGGTGCAGTTGATCAATGATTCTCTGTTCTCATGGATGTTTCTTTCTCTTCCTCTCTCTTCCTCTCTGAAATCAATAAAAATATTTTGAAAAATAAAAATAAAATGGGGAAGGATGATGGTATCTACTTAATGGAGCTGTGGGTTAAAGAAGATTATATATAAAATAAAAATCCTAGATGCTGATACAAATAAAATGTTTAATAAATATAATCTTAAATAAAGGCAGAGAGAGCCAACAACAAAGGCAGAACTCCCACACTGTTTCTCCTATTGACTCTTTTTCTCGACTGATGTACATGAACTTAACAATTTGAATTCAGTTCAACTGTGTTTTGCTATTAAATTCATTGTTCATCCACTGCCTTGCTTTTGTGTGAGTGAAAATATCCTAAGCCTAGAATGGAATACTGGAGTCCATGAGGTTTCTTTTCTTTTCTTTTCTTTCTTTTCTTTTCTTTTCTTTTCTTTTCTTTCTTTTCTTTTCTTTTCTTTTCTTTTCTTTCTTTTCTTTTCTTTCTTTCTTTTCTTTTCTTTTCTTTCTTTTTTAAGAGCCAAGGCCCCTCAGATCCCCAGGTATCAAAGGTCCGGGGGGGGGGGGGGCAGGGGACACCATGTCTTCAAGGGAAGTCAGAGCCCAGTGCTGGGCATCAAAGGGGCTCCATGAGGTTTCTTTGGACAGTCCATTAAATCAAAAGACCTCTGAGAATATTGCCTGTTTTCCTTTATGAATATAGCCACACTGCTCATATTTTAATTATGAAAATGAGAACTTTCTGCAGAGACAGCATTTCTCTGCTTCAGAACATGAGAGACACGTTGTTGTTTCGCCTATTCCTACAAATGCACATTAGTGGAACTTTACCACCAATAGATACAAATTCCAGGGATGCTGGTAGATTTATGGTGGAATGAATAATTCAGAGCTTGTGCAGACCCCAAATTCCAGGCTTCAATTTTTAATGAATTTATCAGTGTGATAGATTGATACAGTCACATCTGAATATAAAACTACTAAATATTTATAGTGATTCTTTATTCAAAAGCCAAGTGATTCCACTTTCTCAAGCTAATAACTTAAGCTGTAAAGGCAGCACTTTTTCTTTGCAAGAATATTTTCCAATCTCCCAACCAGTTAAGTAAGTTGTGTAAGAATAGAACTTATAAAATTCATGTCAAATGGCAGAATCAAAGACTTATTGAAATGAATTATATGCTCAGGAATATCTATTACTGGGTCAGAAGGAGGTCTGTGGGAATTAGTTTTAAACAACCTCGTAGGATAGATCTCCATCATCACTGATAAGCATTCATTTTATTCAGAGTAAATAATTTGAGAAGTTTCTACATAATTACCTTTCTTGTCAGAAATTTCCTGTTATCACACTTTAGACTTTTGCCTGTAAACCTTCTCTTTTGGGAGTAGTCTGATACTTAAACTCAACAGTTAATTAAATTATATTAAGTTTTCATGATGTGCAGGCTTTTAATGCGCACGCGCATGTGTGTGTTGTGTGTTTTTTTTGTTTTTGTTTTTGAGAAAAAATAACCCAATCGTGGACTTTGTCAGACAAGCTCAACCCTTCACACAGATCCATTTTATATCAATCAGGGTTCAATTAGACAAATAAAATCACTAGGACATATATCTTCATAATCTGTATACATATAATTTTTAAATGGGGATTTCATAGGATACAATTGTGGGAGCTGGTTAAACAGTCTCTGTAGGGCAGTCATTTCATAGCTGATCTGGTTTCTGAAGTCTGCAGGCAGGCAGTTGGGAAAGATGGGTGGGAAGTGAGGAAATAAAGGACCAAGTGGAATCCAGGAGCATGAGCGAGAACTCAGGTCAATTCTCACTGACTCGCACCTTGGTGTCATGGGTGTCTGCGGGAGAAGTTGATAGCCTTCGTCAAAAAACTTACCGCATGCCTGGCCAGAAGTGTAAGAAGATGCAGGAGGATCCAGGGCAAGGTGGAGTCACCCTAGAGATACCTTATCGAAGGGTAAGTTATAGGCGTAGTCACTGTTTCACACTAATGATGTGAGCCAGCAACATATGTGAACTATAAAAATCCTGCCTCCACCTTCTGGGCATAAAAATAAAAATGGCCACTGCTCTAACTTCACCCTCCAAATCTTGCATGAAGTATATATTTTTGGCCCTTCCAAACCGGAAACTTATGTGGATGGCAATTCTCAGCTATGTGGTTCAGTCTGGCCAAGTCACCATATTACAAAGACACCGCATCCCCGCATCTTCTATACCAGTGCTTGGCAAACTGCTGCTCGCGAGCCACATGCAGCTCTTTGACCCCTTGAGTGTGGCTCTTCTACAAAATATCACATACAGTGCGACTGAAACTTAGTGGCCCATGAGCGGAAGTAGGTTTTTGGCTCTCAAAAAAAATTTCAATCATTGTACTGTTGGTATTTGGCTCTGTTGACTAACAAGTTTGCCGACCATGGCTCTATACTATTTGTTCTTGTGCCTAGCCTCCCTACCTGGTTTCAGAGGGGTTAATCACTATCAGCCAACACTTGCAACTCTTCTCTTGAAGACATAAGCTTGGGCTACTGGAGTTGCTTTTGGGAATGTCTGGGAGTTTGCTTCCCTGCAAGGCAGACATTGGCTCATGACTGTCCAGTGTATCAGTCCTCCGTGTACCCCAGTAACTTGGATCTTTGCTTTGGATTTAAGTTTCCCAACAATAAAATTCTTCTCTGGCATTTCATATGGCCCAGTCACTAAAAATTTCCCCTAGAAACTTAACTTTTCTATGGTAAGATCCTTGAGAACACATACCTCTGTGCCTCTCTGAGGTTGATGGCCTGACCTATACCTGATTTGATAGGCACCCTAGGTCCTAGATGCCCCATCCTTTCCTCGTGACCTGGCTACGAGGTCCGGGCTCACCGTAAGACATGTCCTTCTCATGTATCCTTCCCAAGAATATCAGCTCTGGCCTGCGCTTATACGTTCAGGTCTTACCCTTTGCCCCAGCAGCAGGCCTTCTGGATCTGCTTGTCAGAGCCTTCCCGAGACTGAGAGCCCTGTTTCTGACCAAAAGAAAAAAAATAAAAGGAGTTGGAAAAGTAAAAAATATTGATAAGTGAAAAAATATGGAAGTGGGAAGCTTGAAGAAGAATCAAGACAGGATAAAATGTTATTCAACATTATTCAGGATATTGTTCTAGATCAGTGGTTGGCAAACTGCAGCTCGCAAGCCACATGGGGCTCTTTGGCCCCTTGAGTGTGGCTCTTCCACAAAATACCATGGCCTGGGCGAGTCTATTTTGAAGAAGTGGCATTAGAAGAAATTTAAGTTTAAAAAAATTGGCTCTCAAAAGAAATTTCAATCATTGTACTGTTACTGTTGATATTTGGCCCTGTTGACTAATGAGTTTGCTGACCACTGTTCTAGATGATGGACACATTGCAATGAACTCACCCAAGCCCCTGACCTCATGGAGCCTATCGTCTCACGAGGAAGAGAAAGACAAAATAAAGAAATACCGGTATTTAACATTCGAGGTAGAAATAAGTCTTAAAGAAAACAAAGCACAGGATGGAGATTAAAAAAAGAACAGCGAGATTAAAAAATACTAATTTACAAAATCAGTCTCCGGGTTGCTGTTTAGAGAGCGTGGTTTGGAAAGTCCTCTAAGGGTGGGGGGCAGGGAGGTCACATTTAGGCAGAGGTCTGAAAGAAAGGAGGCAGTGCATGAAAGGTATCTGGGGGAAAGGATGGTCCATGCAGATAAAACATAAATGTGAAGGCCCATTAGCTTGAGAGAATAAGCAGAGATTTATTGCAGCCTACATTAATTGATTAAGAGGCATCCTGTTATGCACTTTACATATATTATCTCTTTGAATTCTAAAATGGTGATGTGATTAATGTTATGAGAATGTTTTTATATACAAAAATTTTTCTTCATTTATTTTAATAATTTTAATAGGATAAATTCCTACGAGTAGAATTGGAAATCAAAGGATATGGACATCTTTATAGCTCTTTATAGTTTACTACCAAACTAGACTATACAGTCCCTAGGTCTGGCTGGTGATCAGGGCTTATCTGCGGCCACATGCTTGCCGGCTCCACACCCTGCCTCAGTTGTTGGTCAATTCCCTCTATGGGGCCATTGGCGGGGCAATGTGTGGGGGAGGGGTCCTGCTGGCACCTGCCTTGTCTGGCCTGGGGCCTCCAGGCTGGAGGCAGCTCCTGCATTGAGTGTCTGCCCTCTGGTGGTCAGTGCACGTCACAGCAACTAATTGTTCCATCAGTTGTTCCACCATTTGGTCGATTTGCATATTAGGCTTTTATTATATAGGATTGTCTTCCAAAAAAAAACACTGTACCAACAATTTACATTACCACCAGGAATGTAATAATAAAGGACTATTAGAATGGCATGTTTAGTTGCAAATGTCCACACTCAAAGGACAGTTTAACGTTTTCTCAAAGTATAGGGTAGAATGATGTTTTCTAAATTGTTTGTTGTTATTAATGTTTTCTTTAAAGCAAATTTGCTTCCAGGGCACATTTAATCAAAATCCATAATATCAGACCTACACCAGCTTCCATGGACTGTATACCCATGAATTACCATAAACTTTCCTGAGTGCTTGATTTTTGGGAATTGTGGAGTAATAGAGAAGTGCTTTGTTGGCTATTAGGAGCAAATGAGGAACAAAATTCATCCAAAAGGCATAGGCTTGTTCTTCTGGAGTCCTCCACAGCCTTTTCTCAAAGTGGTTTTAAACCACAGATTCTGACTGATAGAAATATTGAAGAATATTCCTAGAAAACCTATTAAGGAAATGCATAACAAAGATTAATCTAATCAATACGGCAACACGGGAGAAATGGATAAGTAACTGGATATTTATTTCCATATTGAATAAGTTGTCAAAGAGCAACAGGGCTCTTATGGAATTTGCTGACCTCATTTCTCTTTCTTTTAACATAATACAATGCGAACACGCAAATTAAGTAGTGGAACAACTGCCAGATATTTTAAGTGAGTGTTGCCTCATTTGAAATTCATGGATAATTGCATCACATGTCTGTATCATTAAAGAGACAGGAGATGTTTTCCTGGGTCTGTTTCCTATGTCTTTTTTCTTCTAGTTTTTCCCAAGAAACTTATTAAGGTTGGTGCTTAATGATCTGATTGAAGCACCCACACACCCAACTGGTTAACTTAGTTATTAACTTTCCATTTCCAAGGCAATAAAATACTCCAATCCCAGGTGTGTTAAGCCCAGAAGAAAAATCACTGCATGTCCTCAACCTAAGGCATGCAATGAATAGTGTTTAGCTTGCTGCGTTGAAGCATTTCCATGTGTTGACCCAGCATAAGGATAGAAAGCCCGAAAGAGGCAACATTGCTATGAATCTGGTACACTTGGTTTTGTCACTGAGATAATTGCGTTGTTACTCTGATTTTGTTTTACTAGTTTGGGTTAAAGTGTAAGGGAAACCCAAGATGATATATAATAAATGCTAACTGTTATTCAGGGTTTATAAAGTTTCCTTTTACAAAATCAATCTCAGGGAGGCTTCTGGCAACATTTTATGTATGGAGGTTATTTGTGATTTTGCTGTACTTCCTTGGCTACCGGAAGAAGGCATATTTCAAGCCATTTTAA